CCCTCCCCCCCTCCACACACACCCCGCCCATGACTCCTGCAGGCTCTTGGGTGAAAGTGAAAGTGAAACCTAACTGTCTGCTGAGCTCTCAAAATTATTTAGTGAAGCTCTTATCAGATTAAAAATGCCTTTGAGGAAATGTATTTTCAGATGCCAAGTAAACTGCAGCCCCCCCCCACACACACACACACACTGAAATGGGCGAGACAGAAGCGAAGGTGGTTCTTAAAGAGACAGAGGCCAATTTCAAGGCATTTAGAAGAGGGAGTGATGAGAAGATACGTTTATTTTCTATTTAAACATAAAAACAGCATTTTAATAACAGCTAAAGGTGACACAGATATTTTATTATGGTATAGTATTTAAATGTATGCCTGAGAAACACGTAATATTGGCCCTTTAAACATGAACAGTGGGATGATGCTTTCTTTTCCAACTCCTTGCATTGAATTTTACACAATATCATTCAAATGTTCGAACCTGTGATGGACTTGAGACTTATACAGGGTTTACTCCGCCCCTCGCACAGTGRCTGATGGATATGGGCACCAGTGACCCTCGTGACYCTGAAAGGATGAAGCGGGTAAAAGATAATGGATGTTTGAACTACTTTGGTTTTTATGGTGTTTTGCAACTTTCTTGTATGTTTTCCAACGTAGCCTGTTTCTGACTGAAAAAGGCTTTTGTCTGAGTAATTACAGAGGCAGCTGTACAACCCTCAACCAGAGACTGGGAGTTAACAGCAATGACAAAACCAGGGGGGGAACCTGTGGCTGAGGCAGCTGCATTTCACAGCCTTTTCAACTGAACTGCAAATGCAGAAGCATCGTTAGGCCAAGTGCAGCAAAGCTTTCATGAAAGTAACTTTGCAGGCGAAAGTTAAGTTTTTTTTTTTTGTTTGTTCTTCCTGCAGTTTTATTATTATCTCAAATGATACTGAGAAACCTTAACCCGATAAAATGCTACAAATTCTCCATTTCCGCWACAGTAACAGATTCAATGTAAAAATGAGACAAATTTTATATTTTGATGAAAAAAAGGACATAAAAAATGTTGAACAGAGATTTGACTCTACAACACRCATCAAAATGTCTCGCATGCCTGATACTACCACAGCCAACGTTTCCCTTTCCTTGCAGTCTGATCCCACCCATGAGCAGCAGCATCACATCATACTACAAAAATGCCTCGGGTGAAGAGGAATGTTCTGTTGCCGGCTGGCTGTCCAGGCTGACCAGCTGGCGTACTCGGAGTCATTTTCAGAGAGTCGTGAACTTTTGTCCTGTCACTGCTCCCTTGCTGGCTGCAGGAGGGGACTTGGGCGACAGGAAACACTCAACAAGTGGAAGCTATGGATGTTTATCTCACGCCATTCATCAAGCTCCCAAAAACCAGACAGAGAGGTCCAAACCGAGCTAGTGAAACAAGGGTGTCCCAGCTCACAGACGTGTAGCCAGAGGAGATGTCAATAAGCTATTGTGGATTGGACCGGCCTTCAGCACCAGAGAGCTGGCTCCCCTCATTCTTTCTCATGAGTTCTGACCAGCCTTTTGAGTGGTGACACTAAAAGAAATCCCCTTTTAATTTGATTACAGGAGTTTTGATTGCAATAGCTGCTCAGCAACACATCAGCTGAATGGGATCGCTTTGATGCATCCAAAAAAAACCCTGATTTTAATGCACTAAAACTGGTTACTGTGGCTCAAATCACTGCTACCATAACAAAGTTCAGATCAGCTCACCGAACAGAGAAAGGAAATCTATTCTGTGGATGCTGGCCAAGTCATGTGGGCTGAGTTTTTAGTAGCGAGCAGAATGAGTCCAACAAAATCTATACAACGCACTGAACAGGCTGGATGACTCCCTGTCCAACAATGAGACTGATTCAAAACTAAAGACAAAAGACGTGAACCATTTAACATTACAGTAACTGGCAAACATCTAATCTTATTGCTGCCCAGTTACTTCAAAATGTATTTGATCTTTCAAATAAATACACAAACAATAAAAAGAGTGACGATAATTTGACATACGACTGCGAAATCGAAYGTATTATGCTGCCAACAACTACAATGTAAGTCCTGCAAGCTAATGGAGGAAATAGCTYCAAAAAGAAAAACAATAAAGATATGGTAATGTGTCAGGAAAGCGAAGCTCCCACTTAGGGAGGAAAAGCAAAGTTTTGTCCTTAAGCCATGGTCACAAGTTCTAAGATGAAACCGAAAGAATGTTCAGATTGTTGGGATATCAGTGCCACAGCAATACCCTCCTAAAAGGGTGCATAAAACAGAAGTTTACACCATAAGAATAAAAAACAACTGTAATTTAAGTCTTTTTATATCAAGAGATTATGTTACCGTTGTGAATCATAAATAGCATCCCAGATCAAAACAAATGCAACCTACAGTATCAAAACTTCATTTGGTATCCAGTTTAGCGTTGACAACTCCTGTCTTTCTATGGGATACTTTCTAGCCAAAGAACTGTTTTCAGAAGAGAAAAATTTGGAAGTCCTACAAAAGAAGAACACATTTGCTGAAATACAAGAATGGTCAAAGTGCCTCCTGGTTTTTATTGTAAAACTATCAACACTGATCCAATTTAGACATGAGTTGTTTACTCTGAAATGGACACATGTAAAGAGTTGGGGAGGGGGAAGAGGGGTTTAATATTCAGGTGCCCCAAAGCAACTTGGAAATATAATGAAATCTCCAGGAACCTGATGAAAAATATTCCATCTGTGTTGCTGTGTTGTTGTTGCTGGCACAGTAACCCCCAGATGATCAGCGGGGAACAAGACCCTGGTTTACAAGTAGTTGACTCAAGTACAAAACAAATGACACAGCAGAAAACCTGACACTGGACTGCAACAACTTTAGGCTGGATTAAGCATCCCGGCCTGTTGCATGACTGAATGGTGAGTCACCGAGTGAAGCAGGCCAGCTCTCAGAGGAGGAAACGGCACTACAGGGGGAAACACGCTTTCATCCATTTTTCTATCCCCGTGCAGATATTACCAGATGAAATCCGAAGCTTTTTCCTGCCTGGCCTTTGCTGACAGGCACCTGAAGTTTTGCTGACTAGAGACAACCTGGGACAAGTGTCGCTATAGTCAAGCTATAGGGTCAGAGATCCTCAGCTGGAAAGTTGGCAGAGACGAGCAGACTCTGCAAAAACTCACCACTTCCGTGCATATTTTAAAAGAAGAATTAAAGCAAGGATGAATTGAAAGCACACGAGGATACAGTCATATTTTCCATTGATACTGAAGCCATTTGGCTGGGTTGCATGAAATAGTTGAAGCAGCTACATTTGGCATTGTTTGACTGACAAAATTTACAATAAAGTGGATGAACAGTTTCARTAAGTTCTTTTGGGATTGTGTGCAGCAGATACGTATAAAACTATTGTCAAACATTTATTCTGTATATAGCTAGTTAAAACAATCTCATCCAACTGATTTAAATATCATTTTCACAATGAAAACACACAAAAATAAATAGTTGGATTGATTTATCTTGGCAAAGAATCAGCCTCTCTTTCCTATGACTGCACTGTACTGATTTTCTCCAAATGTTGTCTTTAAAATGTTATATTTTCTACCMTTTTCCCACTACAGCTTTTTGCCACCGCTCCAGTATGTTACAGTATCTGTGTAAATGTCTGTGCAGATGAGATTTTCTGCTCTGCAGACCAGAACTCCTAATAACTAGCTAGTGAGAATCAGCAGACCTCGTAAAGAGCAACAACATTACCCAGCTCCTCTGGAATGTCAACTCAGAAAACATTGGAGGCAAAAGACACAAACTCAGTACAGATGGTTAATTCAACATCCTCTAATTGTTGATCTGTTTGAGATAGCTCCTTGTTTCATTTGTCTTTCTTTTACCTCTCATAATCTCAAACATCACTCAAGCTCTGGCCTCCCTTAATGTACCGACTCCTCTCGCTGATGGAATTGCTTTGTTTAATCACGCTCTTCTTTCCTCAATTAATGATAATTACAGACACAAATAGAGTAATCAGCATTAAACCCCGAGAGGCTAGAAAAAATGGCTAAAGTGGAAGCACGGGCGGGCCATTTCATTATTCGGCCAGGCTTTTGCACATAATTAATCCAATGCGGAGATAACCTAGATAAGGTTTCAAACACATAAATATGTTGAGTTCATGAGGTTTGGGTTTAAAATGCCTGTTTTGGTGTTATTCAAATGTAGTGTTAGTTTACATTTTCAGTAAAAGCACAATATGACTGATGATTTTGTCATTTAAATAGCTTAAAACACAAAGACTACCATTTGTKGCTTTATAGCTTTGCACAGCTTGTTGTTTGATGTAGTTTCAGTTTTAATGCCTTATTTATTTTTTATTTAGCACACTATAAAAATGCACATAAATGCACACAAACCATGTTCAGGACCAATCATGGCAAAATAAACAACAAAATAAAGTGTTTATTCACGCTCTTATTTTGACAATGCAGCATAAAACTCCATTGAAATCCACATCTTGTGCTCCAGTGTTCTTCCAGCACATCATTACTGTCATGGAACAATATAACATATATAACAAGAACAAATCATAGGCTTGTATATGTCTGTGCACTTGTTTCATGTCAAGTAACATTACACCACGACGTAAACAACTGGCGCTGGTTCGTTGTGCCGTGTAACCGGAGGAGCAGCGGCGCGATCGTCCGCACGTTTCTGACCGCGTTTGACTCATTGTGAGGAACACGGCGCAGATGTCTGCTTTGGAAAAACAAAACCTCAACAGATGAATATGGCAGGAGTCAGCAAAAACACACCCTGGTGCCTCGTCAGGTCAGTCCGCTACAAACTTTGATAACGTTGACCAAGTTTCAACACAAGGTGAAACCTTTTGTGGGAAACTTTTTTTTTAACCTCAGAAGAGATCAGAGAGAAAGTGTTGCGTGATTGATGACCTTAAGAAGTGAAATCACAGGGTGTATTTCAAGAGATATTTGGTGGCGTTCTTACCTTYTGATCAACTATGGAGCACACCAGGTCCTTGACGGCGGACAGAGTGAGGTCGGTGGCCTCCAGGTTCACCGTCTCTCTGGTCAGTCCGATCTGCAGCAAGAAGGAGACGCCATGGAAGGAGCTSCGGGAGTTGGTGGGGCTGGGGGCGCTGGGGCTGCCGTTGGACAGCCGCTGGTAGATCTGTCCGGGCAGGGTAGGYGAGGGCGGGAGGTGCGGATGGAGAGAGTGGAGGAAGGCTCGGGGTAAGGACGGAGGAGAGGAGGCAGACATTGAGGTTCCTTCCGGTTGCGACGTGAGAGGCTGAATAGTGGCAGATTCAGTGACGGCCGGCAGAGAAAAGCACCCCTCGGTCCCCGCGGATAGGCTTGTGCGAAAAATATTTGCTCCTCATCAGTTGTGGTGAGTCAGCACTGTTTATTTGTGTTTATGCTATTTATCCTACCCACCCACCTGAGCTCACACAACACGTGCATTATTAACTGGATGGACATGTGATGGAGGAAAAGTCCACAGATTTCTGCAGGAGGGTCACCGCAGCAAACTTCATATCCTGGAGTTTTGCTCTTTCCCTTTACAGAAGTCAGTAATCCACTCTGACCACAGGAAACCTGTCTCCACAAACACACAAACACAGACACAGAAACACTATTATTTTAAAATAAAAAGTTGGAAAATAACAGGGAATCCGCTCCTGTTTTTGTAGACATTCTTTAAATGTGAGAATGCTGGATAAGCATTTACACGACTGTTTTCCTGTCTCTTTGCTACTTTTCTATTTGCAATAATTAAAAATTATTTTCTCTTACTTTAGGCTATTTTAACCATGCATAGATTAAAACTTTTGACTCAACAGGGAATAGTGTCCAATGCCTTTTAATATTTGTAACGTTTACTCTTTTCGAATTAACCCCCCACACACTATTTAGGTGTTAACTACAGCAGCTAAGTAGCTAAGACAGTAGTTCTATAGTGCTCCGTTTAGCTTTTAGCTACAGTCTCACTACATTTAGCATTTAAATACTGTTTTGCTTATCTTAGCATTAAACAACAGACTTCCTTATTTTAGCTTTTAGCTAGTATTGCTCATTTAAGCTCTTAGCTATTACTTTGCTACATTTAGCTTTAAGTGGTTTCGCTTATTTTAGCTTTTAGTCTCACAACAATTAGCATCTAGCTACTGTTTTGCTGATCTTAGTATTAAACAGACTTCTTTATTTTAGCAAGATTTGCTCATTTAAGCTTGTAGATGACTTTGCTACATTTGGTTTTAAGATGCTGTTTTGCTTATTTTAGCTTTTAGCTGTTGATTTTGGTTTCTGTTGCTTGTTTCAAGTTTAATAATTCAGTTAGTAATTCAGGTACCACTACAGTAGGGGAATAAATAATAAGCTGTAATCTATAAACAGAAAACAATAGTAAGTAACAATATGTACAGGAAGTAAGTCGAGCAACAACTAGCCACAAAATGGCATTAACATGAATGAATATGAACTTGTTGCCTAAAAAGTGAGGCTGTTTTCATTTATGAAGTGTTTTATAGCTGATTTATAGATCTTTAGCCACAGTGCATCTTCAACAGAAAATTCAGTCAACAATCAACTTTCACAT